ACGGCCCAAGCTTGGCAAGTCGCGCCCACGACGTCCCAAGAGGGCCCCAAGACGACCGCAAGAGGGGTCCAAGACGGGACCCTGGATTTGAAAATTCGAGCTTCCCGCCCCAAGAGGCCCCAAGGAGCCACCGAAATGCTCCCAAACAGCTCCAAGAGGCGTCAAAGAGGAAGCCCCCTCCATATGGTGTCCGCATTTGTTGGTAATCCGAGCGGGTCATCGGGATCATGTAACTGTCGTCACTTTTAAGTTCGTCTGGATTGAATATGGAGGGCGTCTCAGGCGGGAGCTTCGTCTGTGAGTGAATTGCGAGGAGGTCTCAGGCGGGGGCCCCCTCCTGGGGTCCACACTTCATGTCGGCAATCCGAGCGGGTCATCGGGACCCTGTAATGTCGTCACTTTTCGGCTCCTCTGGATTGAATATGGAGGAAGTCTCAGGCAGAAGCTTCGTCTGCGAGTAAATTGCGAGGAAGTCTCATGCGAGAGGTCCCCTCCCTATGGGATCCGCATTTCGTGCTGGTAACCAGAGCGGGTCATCGGAACCCTGTGCGGTAATTGTCGTCATTTTTCGGCTCCTCGGGATTGAATATGGAGGAATTGCGAGGAAGCTTCATGCAGGGGGTGGGGCCTGCGTATGGGTCCCGCACTTCATGTTTTGCCTGCATCATAGGTGTTTTTTGTTTGGGGGGCATCCCCGTGCAGTCGTCGTCCTTCACGCCCTTCCTCTTCACGCACTCACACACCGTCATCATCAACATCATAATCACCATCATCATCATCATCATCATCATCATCATCATCATCATCATCATCATCATCATCATCATCATCATCATCATCATCCGTAGCCATTTTGGCTCAAGCCATTTTGGCTCAAGTCGCTCATTGGACCTCAGACGGCGGGATCAAGTGACGGCCAGGTGTTCCCTCGCACCCAATGTATATCGCGTATTTCGCACGGGTGGTCTTTACAATTGTGCCATCATGTTTAGCTGTCAGTCAGGTGCACGAGTTGGCAGACTTGTGCTCCTTATCGTTAGAGGAGGTTCACGAATGGGTTTCTAGTCTCAAAAGTCTGAATGTGCTCCCAAGTGGCTCGCCTGAAATTGTATTTGAGGAGCCCGTCGCCAGTCTTATGCGGCCTCCAGTCAAAGCGTTGAGTGAAAGTGGTTACCATCACCTTGCAAAGAAACAGAAGAACCCCGATCTCTTACGGAAGCCTAACGTGGAGACAGGGGTGACGAGGAAAGTGTTAGTAATGATCGAGAATGGAATCATGCTTCCTTGGGGGCTGGTTGTCAATATGACGCATCGGTTTGAGCTTGGATATTTCAATGAGCTGCAATGTCTTGAATACGGACCGCGGTTAGGAATTAATCGGGGTACGTGCAGGAATCGGCCTCCCGACATGTTGTCGTACCTGAAACCTGCAAAGTCGGGCATGCAGTTCAGGTGTAATCATGCTGGCAGCATCGTCAGCGTTGCTGAATCAATGCACCACGACTTTCACCATTTTGTTGTATACACTTTACCGCGATTGCTATGGCCAGCAGTCCAGGAGATACAGTACCCTGCTGAAGTGCTCTGGAGATTCAGACGTGAGCCATACCTCAAACATTGGTTGGATGCACTTGGCCTGTCATGGAGGAGCTTCATTACGTTCTATGGGAACGCGGGCTTGCTCTTCAATACGTTATACATGCCGCTCTGGCTAGGCTTCGACCACGAACTTACAGACGATTGCCCCGCGTTCGTGCCTGAGCAAGATTTGCGCACATTGCAGCGTTCTGTCCCAGATCGTGTTGTTCAGGTTGCGACAGATTCATCACCGTACTTCTTATTACTGGACCGCCACGAAACATCTCGACGAAAATTGAAACAGTGGGTTCAAGTCTTGAATATTGCAATGGACGCAGTGAATGCTCATCCGGCAAGCGACATGCAGGTCGCAAATATTCGGAGTGCCCCTCAAGATGATAAGCAAGCCTATGAGTTGACCATTGCGAAGAGAGCTCCACAGAAGGGCGAGTCGATCAATCCAGGGAAACATGTTGAGTTTCCGGGGTATGTGTGCATGAGGTCATATTATTGTTCATGTCCGCGGGAATACATGTTGAGTTTCCGGGGTATGAGTGCAGCGTAGACCGTAGCCCGCCCAAATCCTGCAAGACGTCTATGTTTTGGAATGTCGGACCCGAGCTGCAGTGGAGACTTCGTAGTAGTAGTAGTAGTAGTAGTAGTAGTAGTAGTAGGTGTAGTAGTAGTAGTACTAGTAGTAGTAGTAGTAGTAGTAGTAGTAGTAGTAGTAGTAGTAGTAGTAGTAGTAGTAGTAGTAGTAGTAGTAGTAGTAGTAGTAGTAGTAGTAGTAGTAGTAGTAGTAGTAGTAGTAGTAGTAGTAGTCGTAGTCGTAGTCGTAGTCGTAGTCGTAGTCGTAGTCGTAGTAGTAGTAGTAGTAGTAGTAGTAGTAGTAGTAGTAGTAGTAGACTTACTTCATAATATGATCAACTGATTCGGAAATGAAGCATCGGAGACCGCAACACGGAATTGCTCAGGCATTCAAGAGGCCATGTTTTTCATACACACGTCTACGGAGTCTCAATTGAGTGTCAAGCTTTGTCTTACCCACAGCCTTTTTGGGGTCTGCAACGCTGATGACGCCATTGGGATCACCAGTCGTTTCAAGGAGAAAAAGGAGGAGAGTGGCTCAGCAAACTCTCCAACCGAGACAGCCCCAGCCGAGTCGCCAGCTGATGCTGCAACCCCAGTCGTTGAAAGCATTGCCCCAAGCGGCGCCGCCGCCCCGGGACAGCGAACTCAGCAATGATCTCGCCCGGCATCACGACCGAGGTACCAGCGTGGCAGGCAGTCTCATCGGGCCGCCCCCCATGCACCTGCGTCTGCCGGCTCAGCCGCGTCAGGCACCAATGATGGCTGGATCGATTATGACAGGATCCTGTCGTGGGCAGACGAACCCTGGACTGATGGGCCCATCCCCGAAAGACTGGCTGCAGAGCCGGTTGGCGGCCGCGCGCGCGATGGTGGCGGCCCCGGGCCGGCCATGGGCGGCGCCTACGACTCGACCGTCGACTACGAAGACAAGACCGAGAATGGAGAAATCCAAGGATGGTATGCACATCTATCCCGGCATCATCAAGTCACCGTTCACAACGAAACGTGGCAATGGTTTAGCGTGGACGAATGCTACGACAAGTTCCAGCGTGACTCTCGGATGCCTAGCACGTTGCCAGTGCTTCCCCCGCCGCCTACGCCGAAGGCGAGACCGCCTGAGAAGGGCCAGGGCAAGAGTGAGCCAAGTGGCTGGAGCTCGAGCAGAAGAGAGGACAGCTCCTCCAGTGACCAGAACCAGTGGCGCTGGAGCAACAGCGATCCCTGGGATGACTCTCGTGAATGGAGAGGTCGCTGGAGAAGGTGACGCTGCGCAATGGCACCAGTACGACAAAGTCGATGCTGGTCCGCACTACTTCGTGGAGCGGGTGCACCAGGTGTGCATGGGCATTGAGGCCTGAGCTGGAAATATTTGCTCCGGCGGGGGACGTCGGGCTTCTTCGGTTTTCCGCCCCCTGGCAACCACCGTTGAGCGGTAAAATGCTTTTGGGGTTCGCTCCGTTGGCTGCGCACATGTACAGGCCAGGTGGGCTGGGGGCCGGGGCGGCTCTACGGACCTCGCCACGGGGAGAGTCAATGCACCCCTTCCGCACCACCAATCTTTCGCCCAGCCTGCTCTCTCTCCTTGCCCGCGCTGTCCGCCTGCTGTACTGACTGACTACTTCTGCTCCCGCAGCTATATACTTTGGCTTCAGGGAAACGGAAAAGGAGCGAGCCTGCGGCGCGCGCGCGTGCGTCGGCTGGCGGGCCGGCCTCCTCCCTGCAGCGCTACCTTTGCGTTTGTTTGACGGCGCTATCCTTTCTTGCCCATGTCATATGCGGAGCCCACTGATCATGATGTATCATCGGAACATTTCGCAGGGAATATGAATATCCAGGCAAAAGACTCATTCCTCCCTTTGTCCTTTTGTTCCTCCTCCTCCCCCTCCTCATCCTCCCCTTCCCCCTCCTCCGTATCGAGCGTCAGTCTTCGCTCCTCGGCCTCAGTGTCCCGCCCTCGTTCTCGCCCTCGCGCCCCCCCTCGCCCCAGGCCCTTTCGCTCCCGCCGTCGCTCCCGCCGTCGCCCCCGCCGTCGCTCCTGCCCGGCGTTGCGGGGTAGTCGTGGCGGCCCGCGCTCTTCCCTCCCAGGGCCCCGGCGTCGGGCCGCGGGGCTGTCTGATTGCGGCTCGGGGTTTGCAGGGCCGCAGTCTCAGTTCAAGGGAGGAAGAATTGCCCCGACCTCCATGATTGGCGTTTGCTCATCGGCCCTGGGCGTTCACGAAACAGCCCTGCCCTGTTCGACTCCACCTTTGGATGCGTTTGCGAAACACTTTTCTCGTCGGGGTGCTCAGTGTTCTCTAACAGTGGCCCGCGTTACGAACATATCCAGCAAACAACTTCCCGTTCGACTCAAATTGGCTTGCCCAGAGCGTGCGCCCGCTTCGATCCGGCGACGCGGCGCGATGCGGCGCGATCGTTCGACCCCATCCACTCGGAATCCATCCAGGAGGCCTCTATGGAGGCCGATGGAGGCTGAGAGATCTGGGCCCCGACTTTTTGGCACGCCGCAGCGCGCGGCAGAGGCAGTCCGCGCGCACGTCTGGGCACGAGGCCGGGGCACGGAGTCGCGCATGAACCCGCACGCAAGAGCAGAGGAAGGGGGGGAAAGGGGGCGACCGCGGAGGAGGGGGCCGAGGCGCGGGGCATCCTGCGGGCTGGGATCCGCCCCAAGATTTATAGTGTTCCAACCTACTTTTTAGCCTTGATCACCAAATAATTTCGACCACCAAGAAAGTACCCCACAGACTCGAGGGTCTTCGCGGGTCGGGCCCTGGGAGACACTGTTGCGACACTGTTTCGACACTTGTCCGGGTGCTCGAAATTATTTGGGGGATGTGGTCTTTAAGTACGATGGGAGCAGCATGACTCAAGACGGCCTTCTGGGGGGGGCGGTCATCTTGGCTTAAGGTGAGCGTTTCGATTGCATCGGAACCATACATCAACTGAACACTTCCTTTTCACATCCAGTGCTACAGCTCCAGGCCCTCGTCGGTCGGGACAACGATGGCTCGCAAGCTGTTTTTCACGACGGCATCTGCGCTCGCTTCCATGGTTGGCGCTGACTCTCAGCTCGTGCAGGTGTTCACACACGGGCTGGGCGTGTCAGATCCGGCAGATCCCGCCGCGGACCCGACGCCGGCTCCGACGTGCGCTGACTCGACATATACAATAACATATGTGAGAGAGCGTGATCCACCGCCGCTTTACTGTGGAAAATTGCCAACATTTTCCTCCGGAACCCGGGGGTCTCCCCCCCCCCCCCCTCCGAAAATCCCCCCCCCCCCTGCCGGACCCCCCCCCCCCCCCCCCCCCCCCCCCCCCCCCTCCCTCCCGGCAAAACCCCCCCCTCCCCTAACCCCTCCCCCCCCCCCCCCCCTCCCGCTCGAAAACCGGGGGGGTCACTACCGGTTCGAACCCCTCCCCCCCCCCCCCCCCCCCCCCCCCCCCCCCTCCGGATCCGGAAAACCGGGGGGGGTCACTACCGGTTCGAACCCCCCCCCCCCCCCCCCCCCCCCTACTCTCACCGCCAGCAAACGACTCCAGGTCCCCACCACCGTCTGCATCACATCCCCCACTGGTGTTCCCAGCACCACTGTCCTCACCACCGCTGTCCCCACTGGTTCCACCACCGCCCCTACTGTCCCCACCAGTGGCCCCACCACTGTCGCACTGTCCCCGCTGTCCCCAGAACTGTTCCCACCACGGTTCCACTCTCCCCACTGTCTCCACGGCCCCAACCACTGCCCGACTATCCCCACTGTCCCCACTGTCCCACTGACTCCTCCGCTGTCCCACTGAGCTGTCCCACTGTTCCCACCACTGTCCCCACTGTCCCCACCACTGTCCCCACTGTACCTCTGTCCCATTGTCCCACCGCCGTCCTCGCCACCGCCTTCACCACTGTCCCCACCACCATTGTACCCTCCACTGTCCCACTGTTTCCACCTCATTCCCATTGTCCCCACACCACTGTCCCCACCACCACCGTCACCACCACTGTCCACTGTCCCCCCCTGTTCCCACCATTGTCCCCACCACTGTCCCCACCACTACCGTCCCCACCACTGTCCCACTGTCCCACTGTCCCCACCACTGTCCCGCTATCCCCTCACCACTGTCCCCACCAACACCGTCCCCACCACTGTCCGCACCCCCACTCGGTTTTCGAGGGGGGGGGGTTCGAACCGGCAGTGACCCCCCCCGGTTTTCCGGATCCGGAGGGGGGGGGGGGTTCGAACCGGTAGTGACCCCCCCCCCTTTTCATGATGAGCAGGGGGGGGGGGGGGGGGGGGGGGGAGGGGTTCGAACCGGTAGTGACCCCCCCCGGTTTTCCGGAGGGGGGGGGGGGGGGGGGGGGGGGTTCGAACCGGTAGTGACCCCCCCCGGTTTTCCGCCAGCAGCGGTAGAACACGCTCTTTCACATATGTCATGTCAGGCTCGACTCACAAACCAACAACATTCACGTATACGGGACCGAGTGGGCTTTCATTTGACAATTTCGCTACGTGCGCCAACACAAGTTCCGCATCTTGTACGATGGCAGCGTCCACGGCAAATTTTTGCCAGTCCAAACAGAGAGTCGACGTTCGGGTCCTCAGGCGAACGGATACCAACGAGATAATCAGAGCGGGCACATGTTGCAGTACCAAACGAAATTGGGTGACTGCAATGTCGTCACAGTGCGCTGTTGCAACGCCCACCCCGACCAACACTTGCCTGACGCCCTCCCCCACGCCTATCCCGGCCCCGACGCCCAGCCCAACGCCGTCGCCGACTGAGGCCCCGACGAGCAGCCCGACCTCGTCCCCGACGCCGAGTCCGACGAGCATTCCGACGAGCAGCCCGACCTCCAGTCCGACCTCGTCCCCGACGCCCAGCCCGACGCCGTTGCCGACTGAGGCCCCGACGAGCAGCCCGACCTCGTCCCCGACGCCAAGTCCGACGAGCAGCCCGACCTCCAGTCCGACCGCGTCCCCGACGTCCATTCCGACGAGCAGCCCGACCTCCAGTCCGACCTCGTCCCCAACGCCCAGCCCGACGCCGTCGCCGACTGAGGCCCCGACCTCCAGCCCGACCTCGTCTCCGACGCCCAGTCCGACGAGCAACCCGACAAGCAGCCCGACCTCCAGTCCGACCGCGTCCCCGACGTCCAGTCCGTCGAGCAGCCCGACAGCCAGCCCGACACCCAGCCCAACGTCTACACCAATGGCACCGCCCATCAGTGGCCCCATGGTCGCGGGCGTCGGCGACCCGCATCTCGCCAACACGCTCGGCCAGAAGTTTGACTTGCTTCAGGCTGGGTACCATACTTTGGTCCACATCCCTAGGTGGGCGCGGCAGCGTTCCAACTTCCTCGTGGAGGCGAGAGCGAGTCGCGCTGGGCTTGGATGCGCTGATTTGTATTTTACGGAGATCAACATCAGCGGCACGTGGGCTCGTCGTCACAAGGCAACGGGCCTGCGTTGGGACGCCGAGGCTACGAGGCCGGGCAAATCAACATGGATGACATTCCACAACGTGGTCAAGGTCAAGATCGTGCATGGCCGCACCGCCCAGAACACGAAGTACCTCAATATTTTCCTGAAGGGGCTGCATAAGACGAAGGTCCCAGTCGGTGGCCTCCTCGGGGAGGACGACCACACGGCGGCCGCCACCCCAGACAAGGGTTGCAAACGCATCATGACGTTGTGAGTCTTATCCCGCCCCAGGGCCGACGCCAGTAGACGCTGTGAGTAGTCTGCCGCCCCGGGGCAGACGCCAGTAGTAAAAGACATGGCTGGTGCTCAATGAATGCAAGCGGTTGTCATCTGGCCTTTGGCCAGTTGGGCGGCACAGTCCCTCTACGCATGTCTCCCCTCTTCCATGTTCCATTTGTCATGCGTTCTGCATCGTCTGCGGCGGATCCCCAGCCCATCCCAGAGTCGTCCACTCGCTGCGGACCCTCTCCGATGTCGCTGATGCGGTGACGTGGCCGCGCCTGGAGAGCGCATGCTGCTCCTTTTCCTCCTGTCTGTCAAAACCTGTGTCCTCGACCTCTGCCTCTTCCGCTTGCATCTTGTGTCTTTTGATCCGTGGGCCACCCCGCTCCGGAGGCGCGCGGGGAGCTCCGCCCGTGCCACTCCGTGCATCGATGTCCGCGCGTGGCTCCCTCCTCCTGGTGTTCCTCTGCCCTGCGCTTCTGGGCTGTGTCCAGATTTCGGACGAAGAGAACTATGCACATGCACCGATCTTGGCCTGGCCCATCCTGGGCCCAGGATCGGTGCATGTGCCCTCCTGGCCAAGGCAGGATGGCGTATGCACCGATCCTGGGCTCATGGTGGGCCTGGCCAGAATCGGTGTATGTGCATAGTTCTCTTTTCTCTAAGATTGTGGGGTGGGCTTTCAGGGTCTCCCTCGCGGCCACGGCTGGGCGCGGCTCGGAGGCCCGTCAGGGCGGCGGTCCGGGAGGAAGGCAGGGCAAGGCCAGAGACTGTGTGCACAAAAACGGCACATTAGTGTTGGAAGAGTTGGCCGCCACTGTGGCAGTACTCCTTCACAACGGCTTCCCACTCACTCTGCGGCCTGTGGCTCAACAATGAATTCTTGACGCTTCGCGTATCCCCACCAGCCCATCCAGTAACGATGCCCAGGCGAATGGAGGTGATCAGGGAAGTGAGGGAGCATACAGAGTAACCAAGGGCTGGGGAACCCGTCTTACCCAAGACGGCGAGGATGGAGGAGGAATCGGAGGAGGATGAGGAGGAGGAGGAACTGAAGGAGGAGGAGGGGGAGCGGGATGAGGGAGTTGGGAGGAGGAGCAATAGGCGGATGAGGAGGAGGAGGAGGAGGAGGAGGAGCAGGACGAGAATGAGGAGGAGGATGAGGAGAAGGGCGAGCAGAATGGCCAGAGGCCTCTTGGATGCCTCTCGGAGTCTCTTCGGATGTCTGTTGTGAGCGTCCTGAAGGCCTCTTAGGGCGTCTTGGGAGCGTCTTGGCGGTCCCGGAGGCCTCTTGGGGCGTCTTGGGTGCCTCGGGGAGCCTCTTGGGGACCTCTTGGGGCCATCTTGGGGTCATCTTGGGGCCATCTTGGCGCCTCTTGGGGCCTCCTGGGCGCCTCTTGGGGCCATCTTGGAGGCGATCGATCAAAGAAGAGGGTGGGGTTAATTAGCCCCGCCCCTCTAGATCCTCTAAAATCGCCTCTTGGGCTCATCTTGAGGCGCTCTTGGAGCGCTCTTGGGCGCTCTTGGGGCCGTCTTGAGGCTCTCTTAGGCCCCTCTTGGGGCTATCTTGGGCCCTCTTAGAGCCATCTTGAGGCCTCGGAAGGCCATCGGAAGCGAAAAGGCGAGAAAGCAAACTTCATTTGTTTTCCTTATTTGTTTAAAGGATTTTGGCCTCTTGGGGGGTCTCCTTGGAAGTCTCGGAGGCCTCTTGGAGTCGTCTTGGGGCGATCTTGGGGCCTCTTGGAGCATCTGGGGAGCCATCTTGAGGCATCTTGGGCTATCTCGAGGCATCTTGGAGGTCATCTTGGCCTCTCCGAGGCCCTCTTGGAGCCGTCTTGGGCCATCTTGGACGCTCCAACGCGTCGCGGAACCCCCCGTCCAGGTCCAGGGGAGGGGGTTAGGGGGAGGGGTAAACCCCTCCCCGAAGGGGAAGGAGGGAAGATGGAAGAGGAAACTCCCTAAACCACCGACGCCCAGAGGGCTGGTGGGATTCAACCTCTCTGCGCCACCAGCAGCTGCCAGTGCGTGCTTTAAAACGCCCTTCGCCCAACTCGTCTTAGGTCTGCCGCGGCGTCTTCGGCCCACCGGCTCTCTTGGCTGGAATGACAAACTCTCGGGGTCGAAAACGCTTTGCCTCACAATGTCGGTCGTGCTTCGCCGAGCCAGTGCCCCCATCCTTTTGAGCTGTCTCTCCAACAACATGCTGCTCATAGGTTGAACACCGGCTTGCTGTAGAACCGAGGCGCTGGTGACACGGCTGTAATAAGAGAACGGTATCTTCATGATTCTTCTAAGGCACCTGTTCTGAAACCCGTCGATCTTCCGGATCTCCGCCTTGGACAGCCACAGCGAATGCAGGCTGTACAAGACTTTACTGACAACGCAGGCGTTGAATATCTCCAATTTTCTAGCGCGAGATATTCCGGAGTGGGACCAGACGCGGCGTAGTGTTTCGAATTCTTCTCGTGCGGCTCCAATTCGGCGATTGAGCTCCGAGCCAGACGTCCCGTCCGACGTGATCGCGCAGCCCAGGTAAACAATTTTGCTTTTGGACTTGATTTCGTCGCCGGTCGGCACAGTGATGCTAGCGACGTCTGTTGAGGAGACGAGCTCCAGCTTCTTCCAATTGAAACTTAAACCGTAGACGCTGCCCGCTCGTCGCACGCAGTGGATGTACTTCTCTACGTTGCCAGTGTCGACGTCGATCAGAAGAGTGTCATCTGCATATAGGATATCATTGGCATGCGTCTTCGTAGAAAGCTGCGTTCCGGATGTTTTTAGGAGCTCCTTGGCGTCGGTAATGAGGACCGTCATGACCATGCTGAAAAGGTACGGGGACAACGGGCAATTGCTGCTGGCCTGATTGCTTGCCAGCGTCAGAGGCAGAGAGGCAACGATTCGCGTAGATCGCCTCGATGCACCGCAGGAACTTGGCTGGCAAACCGAATCCCCCCAACGATTGACATAATGCTTCTGGCGCGATCGAGTCAAAGGCCGTGGCCCAATCCAGGGCTAGAAGCACCAACCGCTTATCCTGCATTGCGCTTGCCTCCTCAACGATCCTGCGGATGAGGAAGACTGCGTCGAGGATGCCACGGCCAGGGCGAAATCCACACAGAGTGTCCCAAATGCGCTCGTCAGCACCAGCTTAAAGCAACCGCTGCAATAAAATTGATGCAAAAAGCTTGTATCCGACCTGCAGAAGTGAAACAGGCCTGCAATTCCCGCAATCGGCAACATCGCCCTCCTTGAGAATCATGGCGACGCGCGCCTCGTGCCATTTCTCTGGTACTGCTCCGTGTGACCAACATATCCGGCAGAGTTCCAGAGCCCACCGGCATGCTTTAGTTCCCCTTTTGCAAACTTGCTTCCAGAATTCCGCTGGGGGCAGGTCGTCGCTCCCGGCTGCCCTGCGGATCTCGAGTCTTGCCGCCGTTTTCACGACCTCACTCTCGGATATGTCGCGCAGATCGACGTCGAGCTCCGGGCCCAGGCAGGTGTCGGCAAGAACCGGCTCCAGAGGCCGCACTGCCCATTGGACTTTCTCCACGTACTCGGCCAGCGTCTCTGCCTGGTCTTCTGAGCTGACAAAGCGACCCAGCATGTTCTTTAGCCGCCCTTGTCGGTGATGTACGCCTTTATGTAAATCTTTGACTTGGTCCCACGGCCCTTTTTCCAGCAGAGATGTGAGCCATTGGTCCCTATCTTTCTTGATGGACCGTTTTACCTCAGTGTTCAAAGCTCGCTCACGAAGCAAATTGCCATTGCGCCTCGCCCCTGACCTGCTGTCAATTAGCCCCAGCGTGCGTCCGCTGATCCACGCTTGGTGAGGGATGGCCTGCACAGCCAGCAACGTCTCCTCTGCAGCGTGGAGCATACATGTCGTAATGCGCGAACTGAGCCAGTTTCGATCCTGAGCGTCTGCGTCTCGATCCTCCTCGTCCTTCTCCTCTGCCTCCATCAAGTGCTCAAAGCGCGAACGGAAAGCGGATTCAACCTCCTTGTCGTTTAAGTTGTTCTTGTCGGGCCTAGGGCCTCGAGTCTGCGGTGTTCTCTTCGCTAATGTGATGTCCATCTCTGAAGTTACGAGGAAATGGTGCGAAGGAAGTGCCAAGCCCTTATGAGAGCTCACCGCGCGCACCAAGTGAAGGCTGCTCTGCGGAACAAGTACAAAGTCCAGCTGCCCAAAATGCTTGAAGTCCAGAGTATCATGTAGGCGCGACCCCACGTTATAATTAGCACGTGATTTGGTTCTCTGGCGCCGATGCGAAAAACGTGTTGCCCACGGCCAGCGTCGACGTAGCGCAAAGCTCCATCAAAAGACTTCGATTCGAATCGGTGCTGTGCACTGCCATCGGGCTCCCAAAAATATGCTCTCCTAGAATGCCATCTTCGCCAGGCTGTCGCAGGTGAAGTCTAGCATTGAAATCTCCACATGCCACCTTGGGGCCATTCCCACTAGCAGAGGAAAGGAAGCTGGACAGCTCGGAGTAGAAATTGAATCGCTCTTCGTACGGTTTGCCGTTGTGCGGCGCATAGATGGAGAAGACTGGAACGTTGTCGCCAGGCACCCTCAACTTCAGCGACGCCATCCTCGGGCTTTTTTTGACAGAACCCAACGACGCTGTGGCGCAAGTGCGGGGCAACCAGAAAGCCAACCCCCGCTATTTCAACAGTCTCTGTCTCAGAGGAGCCTGAAAGAACCACCAAACATCCACCGTCTGTAACGAATACGTCTGACTTCGTCTTGTGAGTCTCCTGAATGCATAACAAATCAACCCCCGTATTTGCCATAAACTGCTGTAGCGTGATCAGCTTCTCCTATGTGAGCCCCTCCATGTTCCAAAGTGCGGCGACAAGTCGATCGGAAGTTGGTCGTAACGCACCGCCTCTGAAAAATACAGCCTCATAGCGCTGGCTGTCATTCACTATACGTTGGTTCCTGGATAGCCGACCTCGGGGTGAAACATCATAATTTCCCATACTGATGTGCCCAAGGCCCTAGCGGGCCTTACCTTCAGCATCGTTGGCCGTGTTCGCTGGGCTGCTTTTCATGCCGCTCTTCATGCCCTTGGAGGCCTTCTGGACAAGGTCATTGAACTTCTCCTTTGACCCTGGAGCTCTCGTGAAGCTCCTCCCAGTCGGCCCACTCCCCGTGCCACTCCTGCACCACCTTGTCTGGGAAGATGTACGCCGTAGGCGATGCTTAAGAAAACTTAAGTTTTCGGCCAGAGTCCCAATTATTCTGAATGCTTCAATGTAAGTCCTAAGGTTTCAATAGAAATTCTGGGTCTTTATTCAAATTCTGAGACTCTGAGTTTCTTAACCCATGATTTCTTAAGCATTTCGCAGGGTGTGCGCCGTCACTGCCTTCTCCCCCCCGACCTCTACAGTGCAGGGGGCCTCGCCGCTCACCGAAACCTTGCAGGGGATGTCCTACACCTTAGGCGATGCTTAAGAAAACTTAAATTTTCGGCCAGAGTCTCGATTATTCTTCATGTTTCAATGTAAATCCTAAGATCTGAATGGAAATTTTGGGTTTTTATTCAAGTTCTGAGACTATGAATTTCTGAACCCATGATTTCTAAAGCATTTCGCAGGGTGTACTCCTTTTGCAGCACGTGTGTAAGTCCCAAGCAAAAAATCCTGGCGGCCCTCTCCAAGAGGGGGCGGTCCTGGTTGGCCCAAATGTTCTTCCCCCCGACGTCAGCCCAGCCTTTTTCAAAACATCCGCTGCTGTATCCCGCTGGCCCGAGTCCCGGAATTCTGCGAACATCACTCCGCCGAAAGTCCACCTTCGAGTGAATCTTGGACGGGCTTGGGCCTGTCAGCGATGAGAGTTTATCCTGAAGCCACGTGCTGGCAGCGTCGAGGGAGTCGAGCGAGTCGAGGTGTCCCACTACTGCTGTAATACTGCGTTTATCTCCCGACCCCTCACCCGTCATGCTGTTCCCAACCGAGGCCGTCTGGGGGGGCGCGTGGAAGGTGCCAACCTTGTCGGAAATCCTGTTTGACGAGGTTCTCCAACTTTTCGATTCGGACCTCGGCTGCGTCAAGGCGCTTCTCGACAGAATTGAGGCGGAGCTCCACCGCGTCCGCGAGGCTGTTAACCCTCCGGGAGAAGAGGTGAGAAAGGAGAATCTGTAACCGAGCACTTGATGCGCGGTTTCTTCAGGAACGGCTTATTCAACAACTTGCCCACAGGTGTGCCTGGTGCTCGAGACGACGACGCTGCGAGTGCATCCGACGCCGATCCAACCTCCTGCTGCGGAGAAGAAATGACATGTGTCTCCGGCATGGCGGCGTCGCGAAGGTAGGGGTATGGGAAAGGATAGGTAGAAATGGACAGGCAGGACTTGAGAATTTGAGCCACTTGAGCCAAAATGGCTTGAGCCGGGATGCGAAAAGGCCCAAGATGACCACAGGGAGAAATGGGAGAGCTTGCGACGGCCTTGGGCGGGGGGCGGTCGTCCCTTGGCACGCGCCGACGGGGTCTACGGCGGGCTCCTCCCTCGTGGCCGCGGCCGGGCGCGGCCTGGGCAGCTGGTCGGGGCGGCGGTCCTCGAGGGGGGTCCGGAGACCGATCTCGAGCGGCGGGTTGCCTTCCCGGCCCAGCGCACGCGGGGTAGCCGTGGCGGCCCGCACTCTTTTCCCTCCCAGGGCCCCGGCGTCGGGCCGCGGGGCCGTCAGACATGCGGCTCGGGGCCTGCAGGGCCGCAGTTCAAGGGAGGAAGAACTGCCCCGACCTCCACAGTTGGCGTTTGCCGAACGGCCCTGGGCGTTTACGAAACAGCCCCGCCCTGTTCGATTCGTTGGCTTACGCCGCACCGCCGACCGATTGGGGCGGTGCGGGGTGCGTCGTTTGGGGCCTCTTGGTCCGAGTCGGGGTGCTCTCGGGTGCCTCTTGGACCGTCGTCGACGCTGACCATGGCAGTCGAGTCGCACATACTACGAAAATCGAAGGGTCTTTCAGGGAAATCAATTATTTTGGCCTCTGGGGGCCTTCCTGGGAGGCCTCATCCACGCCGTTTCGGCTGTAGTGTGGCCCTCTTGGGGGCCGCTTGGGGGCCCCCTGGGGGCTGCTCGGGGCCGGATGCTCGAAATGGCCATTGCGGTTCTCCCTCTGGGCCTCCTCCTGGGGCCGTCCTGGGGCTCTCTGGGCCGTCTTTGGAGGCTTCTGGGGCCGTCTTGGGGCCCTCTTGGGCGGTCTTGGAGCCCTGTTGGGAGCCTCTTGGGCTGTCTTGGGTCGATCTTGAAGGCTTCTTGGGCCGTGGGTAACCTCGTCGAAACCCAACAGGCGAACGTGCTAAAAGTGCATGTTTTCTTTAGGGCATGGCGCGATTTTTGCTCTTTGAAAGTTTGTTGGAGCGCCTCGTGGCGGCTCCTTGGAGCGTCCTGGGAGCCTCCGGGACCGTCTGAGCGCATTTTTGCATTGCAGGCCAGGGCCGGCGCCGCTATCTTGGGGAATTTCTGGAATGTTCTGATTTGTTTTGGAATGTCTGGAATTTCTGGTTTCTTTCTTTGAAGTGTGCGTTGAGAATGCTGCTTAGGAGTGTTACAGTTTTACACATTCCACGAAACTCCTAGAAATTCCAGAATTTCCAGACATTCCAGACATTCCAGAATTTCAAGAAATTCAAAAATTCCAGAAATTCCAGACATTCCAGAAATTCCAGAAATTCCAGAAATGCCAGAAATCCCAGACATTCCAAACATTCCAGACATGCCAGAAATTCCAGAGGCTCCAGAAATTCCAGAATATCCAGAAATTTTCCGACATTCCAGAAATTCCCAAAATCCAACAAATATTTAGAAAATTGCTGGAATAGAGAAAGTGCGTGGTGAGTGTCGCATTATGAGTAGTGCGTTGTGAGTATATCTGAGTAGTGCGTTCTGAGTACATCCAGAAAATCCCGACATTCCGAACATCGAAAATCCCCGGAGTTTCACAAATCCAATAGGTCCTCAGAAAAGCAGGGCCGTGAGTAGAGAGTAGGGGATACGGAGTGAGTCGTTGTCCGCGAGTAGAGAGTAGGGGATAGGGAGTGGGGGGGAGGGAGTAGTGATTCGTGAGTCGCGGGTCGTGAGTAGTGAGTTTGTAGTTCTCAGTAGGAAGTGGCGAGTAGCGAGAAGGGAGTAGCGAGCAGCGAGTTGCGAGTAGCGAGTTGCGAGTAGGGAGAAGGGAGTAGCGAGTTGCGAGTATCGAGTTGCGAGCAGGGAGAAGGGAGTAGGGAGCCAGGAGTAGCGAGTAGCGAGTAGCGAGCAGCGAGTAATGCCTGGCTCTAAGGAATTCCTCAGAATAGCGGCGCCGCCCTGGCCTTGTCACTAGGGTGTAGTGAGTGCTGAGTAATGAATACTGAGTAGTGAGTCGTGAGTGGTGCGCGTAGTGTGGTGCGTAGAGGGTGGTGGGGTAGGAATCGGGTTCCGGAGCCAGGGGGCCCCCTTTTAAAAGGGAGGGGGAGGGCCTAAGATGCCCCCCGAGACGGGCCCACGAGGATTCCAAGACTGCCCCACACGCTTCCCAAACGCCCAAGATGGTCCCCAGACGGCCAGAAGTCGATTCGGAGGAGGAGGAGGAGGAGAAGGAGGATGAGGAGGAGGAAGAGGAGGAGGAGGAGGAGGAGGAGGAGGAGGAGGAGGAGGAGGAAGAGGAAGGGATGAGGATGAGGATGAGGAGTCGGGGGATGAGGAGTCAAAGGATTTGGAGAAGGAGGAGGAGGAGGAGGAGGAGGAGGAGGAGGGGGAGGAGGAGGAGGAGGAGGAGGAGAAGGCGGAGGAGGAGGAGGACAAGGAGGAAAAGGAGGATGATGGTCCTCGTCGTCGCCGTCAGTCGTCGTCGCCGTCGCCGTCGCCGCCGCCGCCACTCCCTCTCTCGCGCGCGCCGCTCCCGAGGGAAGTGTGTGAGGAGGAAAAGGACGACGACGACGACGACCGGCGACGACGACGACGACGACGACCGACGACGACGACGACCACGACGACGAGGACGCAAAAGAGGACGAGGATGAGGAGGATGAGGATGAGGAGGATGAAGATGAGGAGGAGGACGGTCGCCGTCGTCGTCGTCGTCGCCGTCGTCGTCGTCGTCGTCGTCGTCGCCGTCGCCGTCGCCGTCGCCGTCGCCGTCGCCGTCGTCGCCGTCGCCGTCGTCGTCGTCGTCGTCGTCGTCGTCGCCGTCCGTCGTCGTCGTCGTCGTCGTCGTCGTCGTCGTCGTCGTCGCCCCGCCCCGTCCGCCCCGCGCGCGCGGGCGCGTGCTTGCGCGGCCGGGCCGGTGCAGGATGATGATGGTGATGAGGAGGAGGAGGAGGAGGAGAAGGACGAGGAAGAATGAGAAAGACGACGGTGCTTATGATGATGATGATGATGATGATGATGATGGTGATGATGATGACGATAATGATGATGATGCTGATGATGATGGCGATGACGATGATGATGATGATGATGATGATGATGATGATGATCATTATCATCATCATCACCATCATCATCATCGTCATCATAAGCATCCTCGTCTCTATAATCCTTCCTCGTCCTTCTCCTCCTTCTACTCCTCCTCCTCCTCATCACCATCATCATCCTGCACCGGCCC